TTAAATTTTCATACTGCTGTCATTACTCGTAACACATAATTGCTCTTGAATTTCCTTTGCTTAGACGCATGTTTCCCTTCCCCTGCCGCATGTTAGTAGGTCCCATTTTCCTTAACCCAAAATACTCGGAGAAAAAAAAAAAAAAATCAAATTCAACCACCACATGCCACTACTAACCCAACCCATGTTCTTTTTCTCCATTCCGCTTTATTTTTCCTCCCTTATTTCTATTTATTTATTTATTTACTCTTATTCTAAAGACACCACCACCAAGTGTTTTATATATTACACATTAATATATAATCCGGTTTATGGTTTCCAAGCAATTTCATTTCCAATCTAGAGCTCCTTTTCTTAATATATGCAAGACCCCATTAACATGATATCATTCTCCATAATAATCATTATACAATTATACCAACAATGATATACGCATTAACCCACTGTTTTAGTACATAGATTCCCACTTAAGTAACCACCATATATATGTACATAATATGCCCTACATTATATATCTTAGTACTACTACTTCTGTATCTTTAATTACAACCGTATACATAGTATATATATATTAATTCCTAATTACCTCTCATCTTTCTACGATTCTTTCATTTCATTCCCCCTTTTTCTTTTCTACTTACTCCTAATATTTTCTCCTCAGTACTTGTCATATGTATCCCAGTCACAAGCTGCTTTAGCGTCTCTAGAAACCATAAACTCAGAGGCAGCCCATAACCGAGCACCTTCGGTTGAGTTTGATCCCTGCTTTGATGCCCATGTTTCGTTGCAGTCTGCAAAATACTTCCCACTAACATTCACCAGCCTTGGATGTGTTGCAACGTAACAAGTCGTAGCAGCAGCCTGAAAAATAATTATCGACACAAGATCTCAATCTCCTCATTTTCTCTCGCAATATATTTTTTCAAAACTACCATCATTATAACTAGGACTACCATTTTTACCTGAGGTATTTTCTTCAAAAGCTTGGAAGCTAGAAAGAAGACAAGATCTGCACATTTGTGTAGCACAAAGTAAGATCTTAATTTTATCCTAAAAAACCAAATAAAAACTACACTCTACATTAATTTTATCTTTTTACTTACGATTTTTTTACCTGTAGGGATAAATATATATTTTTTTCTTAAATTCATATTAAAAACGTAAAAGTTAATCTTTAATTTAAGAATTTATTAATTAAATTCTTTTGTTCGTTATCAATGCTAAAATTAATATCAATTTTTTTATATATTTATGACAAAAAATATTTTTAAGACACAAATTAAAAATCCCCATTCAATTATCATCCATATTTACTTGACTCAAATTAAAAATCTTAAAAGAAAAAAAAAATCACCTGTTATCATTCCTTCTCGTTCTCTGGTGAGACGGGTTCTAACAATGCCTGGATGAACACAATTGACAGTCACGTTGGCTCCTATTTTCTGCAAAATTTTAAAAAAAATTGTAGTATACAAAATGTAAATACAAAAATTATTTTATAAAAAAAAATATATAGAATTTGTCTACCTGTATTCTTAAAAAAATTCATATACATATATATATATATATAAAAGGAAAACAACAAAATTTCGCTTTCTTGGGGCCTTGATTCGAAACCGAAAACAAGCATGCATTAACTCACCTCCAGTCTCTGAGCAACCTCCTTGGTATGCAAAACGTTAGCGAGTTTCGAGAGTGCATATGCACGTGTCGCATCATAATAGCTGGAAACAATTTATTTAAAAAAAAAACACAGAAAAATCAATAAGGTCAAATCAAAATCAGTCCCCAAAGAGCAATCATTTAAACCCTATACGGTTTTCTGTCTTCTCGCGTTCTCTCTTACCTTTTGTTCCTCGATATCTGGATCAGGTATCGGATCATATCGCCGGAAAACCAACCGTGTATGCTGGACGAGACGTTCACGATTCTGCCTTGAACGCCGGTTTTGTTCGCCGTTTCGATCATTTTGCTCAGCAACAATTTCGTTAGTAAAAAATGACCTGAAAATTAGTATAGAAATTTTTAGATTTAAGAGATAAATTTGAGAAATCAGTACAAGGTTTTTGAATTTTTTATGGAAGAAAATTATTTAGCTTAATTACCTAGATAATTAGTAGCGAAGGTCATCTCGATTCCGTCCTCGGAGATTGCGTGCTCATGTGTGAACTTTCCGGCGTTGTTTCTGTAATCAACAACAAACAAAAAAAAAAGAATTAATTTGCTGTTAGTTTAATCAGTTTGTTTTCCTTTTCTCAGTAACCAAACAGGAAAAATTATCCAAAGTTAAAAGAGAAAAAAAAAATAAATTAGGAGATTTCAAGTTGCGTACATCAGAAGATTGAGAGGCATATCAAGCGACTCGAACTCTGCTACGAATTTTCGAACAGAAGAAAGAGAGCTTAGATCAAGTGCCATGACAATGATCTGCGAATCAGGAAACTCCGATACAATCCGCGCCTTAGCTTCCTCAGCAGCTTTGGGACTCCGCGCCGGAAGCACCAATCGCGCCCCTCGTTTGGCCAACACTCGAGCCGTCTCCGCCCCGATCCCAGACGTCGCACCTGTTAAAGCCACTCCATCACCATTAAGAAAAAAAAAATACGAAATTCAATTTTTCACTACACGCGATGATTCCTTTCCTTCAGTATCGGAAACGTACCTGTAATTATGGCAGTGAAAGAGCGGAGATGGCAGTAGTTCTCGGTGACTTCTTCTGCGGTGGATTTGGACCCGTAGCCGCTGGCACCGGGGGAGCCGATCAAGTACTTCACCGTCTCCAGCATTTCCGTCTCTCAATGATGTAGAAATTTTGTTCAGGTTGGCAGTAAAAATAGAGAAAAGAGAAGAGAGTAGACAGCACCGCAGAAATTAATGAAAGCAATTAAAAGGGCCTGATTTCTTCTGTGTCAGATTTGGAGAAGAGAAGGAGTACAGAAATGATTTTGAAAATTGATGCAAATGTGAGGAAGCAGAGGAAGAGGAAAAGGGAATTTATTTTATAATGTTGATTGTGGTGAGTGGGAAATTCGATGAACAGATTATATGTTTGTCATTGATTGATGAAGATAAAAATGTGCATGATTGGGATTAATTAATTGTTTTAGTTTTTTTAAAAGGAGGATATATTCTAATCCAATGACTAATTAAATTAATTTAAATTGGTTAAATGCTAAATTTGGTCCCTCAACTTTAAAAAATGCACATTTTTGATCCTTTAACAATTTTTTGCACTTTTTTAATCCCTCAACTACAAGAAATGCACTTCATTAGTCTTTCTGTTAATTTGAGCCGTTAACTCCGCTTATGTGGCATTTTTTATATTTTTTTTGATGATGTGGAGAGCAAAGTGATGATATGGACAAACATTTTGATATTTCATATTACCGTGTACCAAATCCATTCAAATGAGTCCCACCTCACTAATAAAGAAATTTGTCTTTGGATGACATGGCACCAAATCTACTCAAATGGATCCCACATCACTAATAAATAAAAAGATTTTTTGATGACATGACAAATTAAGTGATATTTTTTTATATTTTTTTAATAATATAAAAAATTAAATTAAATATTTACTCGAATAAAAAATAATATTAAATTAAATTTTATTAATTAATCATCATTAAACTATAAATATTTATAATAATCAAAATTAAAATTCTAAATTAATTTATAATTAAATCACTATTTTCTCATTAAATTTTCTTTCTTTTAACGAACATTATAGTTTCTCAGTAACCAATCTCGGCAACCAAACAAATTCAAAGCATTTTCTCAGCATCCAAACACCTAAACTATACCATTTTCCTGCCAAACAAATGAAAACCCACTAAGAATTGCTTCTTTGCCCTACTGTTTCTGTTCTTTCCATTTTGAACATTGAAATCATTTAGACAATACTTAAAAAATATGAAGAAAATGATCCAAAAATCCCTCACAACTTGCAACTTGGATAATCCCTTCGCAAACAAACATATAACAAAAAAAAAAACAAAAAAACAAAAAAGTGGAGCTGGGTTCGACTCGAACCCAGCAAAGTGGGTTCATCGAACCTGAGCTAGGTTCGGTGGAACCCAATTGCTGGGTTCCTTGAACCCATTTGATCTGGGTTCACCGAACCCAGCAAACTGGGTTTCACCGAACCTAGCAGACACAGAGGAAAAAGAGGAAGAAAGAAGAGGAAGAGAGAAAAAGAAAAAAAAGAAAGGAAGAAGATGATCAAAAGAGGGCAAGAAGATGGATCAAAAAAGGGAGATGGGTAAATTTATAATTTTTTATTTTTTTATTAAGGCAAAATCGGTTGATGAGTTGGTGATGAGTTGGTAATAACGTATCTTAAAAATAATTTCAGATCAACATTTTTTTAAATTATTTTTGCCATATCATCAAAAAAATTATAAAAATGTCACGTGTCGTAGTTAACAGTTTAAATTGATAGAAAGACTAACGAAGTGCATTTCTCAGAGTTGAGGGATCAATTCAGTGTAAAAAATTATTAAAGGACCAAAAATGTGCAACTCACTAAAGTTGAGGGACCAAATTTAGCATTTAACCATTTAAATTTTAGTAATTAACTGGGTGGGTTAGTTTTT